TGCTGCTTTTAAATTAATTTTGTTTTCTCCCGCCTCCAGCAGCTCCCGCTCCTGCGCAAGCTCCTGCTGTCTGTACACCCCAAACCCCAAACCCTAAACCCTAAACCCTAAACGCTAAACCCTAAACCCTAAACCCTAAACCCTAAGCGCTCAACTGTAGATCCTAGACCGCAGACCCTGGGCATTAAGCCATTCGTTTCAAGGCCAAGTCGAGGCGCGGAACCCTATGTCAGAAGTAAACCTAAACCCTAAACCCTAAACCCTAAACCCTTAACCCTAAACCCCAGGATGAATTCATTTTCTTTCTTTTCAACTTCGCGTCGTTTCAGTCCTTGCAGTGTACGTACAGCCCACAGGACATTCGCCTTTTTGTTTAATTTCATTTTTATTCTTATTTCTTCTTTTATTTTCTTTTTCTTCTTTTGCTTGTTGGTTTTAAAAATGGCTTTTTGTCTTTTGCAATTCAATTCAAAACTCCTTTTATTTTCATTTTAATAAATTTTTTTCCATTTCCAATTTTCCCTCAGTTGGCCAGCCGACTTTGCTGCTTCGTAGCTCTTTGCCCAGCTAGCTAGCTAGCTGGCTAGCTAGCTGGCTGGATAACTAGCTGGGTGGCCAGCTATCTGGCTGTCTAGCTGTCTTGCTAGCCAGCTAGCTAAGTAGCTAGCTGGCTGGCTAGCTACCTAGCTAGCTAAGTAGCTAGCTGGCTAGCTAGCTAACTACCTATGCACAAGGCTGCCTATCTATCGTGGTAGTTAGCTAGATAGCTAGCTAGCCAGTAGCTAGCTAGCTAGCTACCAATCCACCCACCTACATTCCTAGCTAGCTAGCTAGCTAGCTATACTCCTGGCCAGCTGTTTACGCTTGTGGCTAGCTAGCTGCACCACTGGCTAGCTGCCTAGCTAGCTACTGTGCTAGCCATCTAGCTGTGCCCCTAGCTAGCGAGATATGCACACTGCTTTCTAGCTACGTAGCTCCACTGCTAGCCAGCTAGCTAGCTAGCTAGCTAGTTGGTTAGCTAGCTAGCTGAATAGATGGCTAGTTGGCCAGTTAGGTAGCTAGCTAGCAGTGGATAGCTAGCAGAGATGCGTCTGCAGCTAGCTGGGCTGTATCGGCAGCTAGCTGGGCTGTATCGGCAGCTAGCTGTGGTGTATCGACAGCTAGCTGGGGTGTATCGACAGCTAGCTGGGGCGTATCAGCAGCTAGCTGGGGTGTATCAGCAGCTAGCTGGGGTGTATCAGCAGCTAGCTGGGGTGTATCGACAGCTAGCTGCGGTGTACCAGCAGCTAGCTGGGGGCGTGAGGAGCAGCCAGCAGCTAGTTGGTTTGCGTCTGGGGCTTCGCAGGGCCGACTGGCTGCAGCTAGCTGTTGCTGCGCGTCAGCTAGCCGGGCCCGCCCGCCAGCAGCTAGCCAGCAGCTAGCCAGCAGCTAGCCAGCAGCAGCAGCTCTGCGGGCTGCGGGAGCTTCCGAGAAGTGTTGGGGAAGCAGCTCTTCGGGCGTGGCGTGCGTGGCGCCGCGCCCTGCCGCCTTGCCGCCTTGCCGCGGCCGCTGCTGCTGCTGCTGCTGCTGCTGCTGCTGCTGCGCGCACCTGTCTTGCTGCTGCTGCTGCTCGGCGATGAGGCGCACAATCTCGTCGCCGCGGGAAGCCGCGAGCCCGTCGGGCTTGGCCGCCTTTTGGCGGCGAGACAAACGGCCTATGAAGGCGAGCTGCTTGAGGGCTTCCTGGAGGAGGACGCAGGCGCGGAGGCTTTCGACGGGGGAAAGCAGGCAGTTTGTCTTCGCGGAGTCCGCCATTTTGGAAATAAATTGAAGGAAATAAAAGCATTTGAAAAGACTTATTTGCAGCCAAAAAACGGCGCGCTCACGCGCAGCAGAGGCGGCAAACTGCTGCCGCGAACGCAGCAGCAGCCGACAGCAGCGCAGGGGCTGCTCAGCAGCAATTCGAGAAACCCTGCGCCTTTCGCGCCAACTTGGACCGCCATAAAGGTGAAAAATACTCTTAATTTCGCTTATTTTCCAAGAAGGAAAGATGTAACGCCAGTTCAACGCGGGTTCAACGGAATGCTTCGCGGCGCCGGCCGCTGCCGCTCCTCAGCTGTCCATACACCCCAGATACCCGCGCGCTGCTCCCCTCTTCCGCTCCACAACTCTTTTTATTTTTATTATTTTTCGTTTTGCTGCTCCCCATTTGCCTTTTAACTGCCTCTTGGACCCCGCCTGCCCGCTTTTCCCCCAGCTTCCTCTTGCTTCCTCGCCCGCTTCTGCGCACTCGTCTTTCAGGTGTCCGTACACCCCGAATCCAATTGTTCCTCTTTCCGAAACCACTCTTCCTTCCGTCTTTTCTTTTCGTGTCAGGGGGGTCTCGCGTCTCCGCGGCCATCCGCCTCCTCACTTCTGCTGCTCCTCTCCCGTGGGACTTGCTGCTGCTGCT